TGCGGCTCATTTGCTAAAAGTGTACCATTCCATGCACTTTAGAGGTGATTATTGCCAGTTTATGTGCAAAAGTTTATTATTTTATAATATTGTTTATATTTTACTTATTTATTTATTTTTTTTTTTTTTAGTTATTTAAAGACATTTCTCTATCTCTCTGAAAATGTACCGTTGTTAAATTGCGCTACAGGTTTAAGCTTTCTGCAATTCGCTAACCAAACAGCAATGTGCTTATTTGTAAATACGTATGTACATATGTTTCCGGAATGTTCCATTAAAGCGAAGAAATTTTGTTCTTAGTTTAGCATAACATAAAAATAAACAAAGCTGAATAAATATGAAAGTAGACAAGATGCCAAACCATTATCTTTACCACTTGTCTGCTAGTACCATATTTTTTTTCTTTCGAGAAATAGGCCTAAACAGATAGAATAATTACGGTTCTTATGCAATTAGTGATGGGGATAATTAATATTAGCGGTTTATTTGAGGAAGATTATTTCGCGAGCAAACATTCTTCTGCTAGCTGGAAGCTAAACAAGGCTAAAGCTGACTGACTGTACAATGGCAAATGAAGAATAGAAGTCTGCGCTATGCTTTCTAAAAAATGTTATTCACGGAATATTTGTAAAACAAAAACCTTTTATAACCGAGCTCATTTGCGCACAAGGTAATTAAATATATCTAACTAAGTAAATACGAGCGCTGAGAAAGTTCTTATATTACACACTAGCGTTGCCAAATGTACCGTATTTACCCAGACGTCCCATATTTTGCATTAAATTTGAAATGTTCCGCCGGGACAAGATTTTTTCCGAATTTTCGACAATTTCATCATTAATTTAAATCTGTAAACTTCTCATGCTTTAACGCGGCTATTGTGAGCAGGTCATTAGCAAGCATTTATTGCATGCAACTCTGTAAGAGAAATATAGCTAAAAATGACCGTTGATTTTTAATTTTTTTTTTTTTTTTTGTGGTGGATGTTGCGAATTTTCCTCCATATAACGCATGAACAAACTGACTTCTATATGGAAGAAAATGCGCACTATGCCTCCACAAAAAAAAATAATTCTCAGAAATCCATGGTAATTTTTAGCGACTTTAAACTTGCACTTTATTGTACTAGAATTGAATGGGCTATAAAACCGCGTACTCGAAAAATTTCTAGGAAATCCAAATAAAAAAATTAAAAAATTTTGATGAACATTTTTTTTAATTCCATTATTTAGTTTTTGTGAACAGTACAAGCT